TAATAAAAACTCATGAAACATATTTTTTTTAAAATGATAAGAGTATGTATTTTAAATTGAAAAAGCAACAGTATGTTTGTATATTGTGCTTTAATTGATTAGTGTACTTTATTTTTTTTATTTTTTTTTTTTGGTATACACGAAATTTTGTCATTTATGTCTTAATACTCCAATTAACATTTTTTTAAAAATCTTTTACTCTCTATTTATTATTTTTAATGGTTTTACGTTTAACTATTATGATTAATTAAAAATAGTAGAAAGCATTACACTAAATTTAATCCTTTTTTTTGAAAATACACTAAATTTAATCCAGATTACAAAGAAGTCAAAAACTGTAAAGCAACAAAATAAGGTAAATGTTAGCCTTGGAAAAGATCAAATCCATAGACTGGGTTAAGGGTAGTCATGAACAATAAATGAGTTTCGTACCTTAATGCTTTGAGAGTTTGAGGGTTCTTTTATTTTTTACTTTTGAAAATTTTCTATACTAATTGTTAACACGGCATGTGCTTTCATTTACAGATCTTCTAAAGTTTTGATAAATGGGGCATTTGCAAAAGGAGAACAACAAAAATGAAATTTCACGTACAGCCTTGTAAAAAATATTCATTTCATAACTTAATCCATCATTTATAAAGTTAATGTTGCTATTTATTTTAAACATAAAAAAATAATCATAATAAAATTTGTTTATATTCCTAAGTTATTAAAAAAAAAAAAAAATCTATCACTACTCACTAGGGACTGCATTAGTTTATTTTCCTTAAGTTAGGTTAAGCTAACTATAAAGAAAGAGCTCAAGAAGGGTGGCCTCATGTATAAATATCAATAATTATTTTGCATTAATTTAAGCCATACATATATTCCCAATCAAGTTCTAACAGCTACCTACAACCTTGGAAAGAGCCTAGAAGGCCTTACATTATACCTAATTTGATGTGGTTGAATGGTAACCTATATTTAAGATTACAGATAAATGTAATATATATTACTATTTTAGAAGGCATGTCGTCATAATAATTTTAATTCACTTCACCTTAAGAATATTTTAGTTGCTAACATTATATTATTATTATTATTATTATTATTATTGAACATAATATGTAATACATGTTTACTAATTAAATAAAATGCTAAAAAACAGTTTAATGTTTCCTTATTTCCACTAATTATTTTAAACACTTGATTCTTTACAATGTATAGTAATATTTGTTCTATACTTTATTAATCTTTTTCAACCCAAAGAATCAACACCCCACCACTGGAGTTTGATCCTATGATCACCCATTTAAAATGGTAACAGAAATATCATCACATTACATAATAGTTGGTCATTATTTCAACTAATTTAGTGGCAAAATCATTCTTTTCAAAAGGTTGAACCCCAATCCCGGCCCGACAGAGCATCTGGGAGGATGTAAATCATGGTAATTCAACTGAACATGAACCACAAAGGCTAGACCTTCTTTGCTTACTGTGCACAAAGAGCCCCCCCTCACTTTGAGAGGTTGCTCCCACACTGCCGTTGGTGAGACTCGGTCCCTCGTCATTCTTTATTTCCAAACTTCACCCCTATGACCAGTTGAGCTGCCTATGCGGGTATTAGTGGCAAAAATCATGTCCAATGACATTGTGATCTAGTGGCATGAAGTGACTCTCTCAAATGGGAGGTCATGAGTTTGAGTCTAATGAGACAGTATTGACTTTTTGTGTTTCAGTAGGTTGAGAAAGTAACTATGAACAGATACTACATTGTACGTAACAGTGTAAGTAGTACTAAAAAAAAGTGGCAAAATCATGGATATGTCATAATCAAGTTAACATATATAGACTATAGTTAAAGCCAAGGAGAGTTAGATGCCAATTCATCCTTAATTTATAAAGAGACTAATTTAAGGCTAGAGTAACTAGTTGCTAATAAGTGTATATATACATAGTGCGTGTATTCAGTAACAACGAAGCCTATTATAAAAGGTTGCATGTATTCAAGTAACATTCAATTTATTGGTACAAGGGGGTGGGGTAATGAAAATGCAAAAGGAGAAGGAAAGTTGTGAATGGGCAATTTGAATTTATTGGTACGAGGGAATGGGTTAATGAAAATAATGCAAAAGGAGAAGGAAAGCTTTAAATGTGCATGCTTCAGCTAATTAAATAAGGAAATGCTTTGGTAACCCATTGCTTCAAATCAAATGCTCTGTCCATTTTTAATTTTTTATTTATTACAATTTGTCAAATAAGCTTCCTAGTATATCAAATAATGTAATCTTTTTTTTTTTTTTTATGGATAAATTGTTTTAATGTGACACTCCTTAGACTAACCACTAATACAAAACTAATTAACCGTTCGGGATTATTGTAATAGACGTTAATTCTTCAACTTGTTTAAAACCAAATATCACTTATTTTTGCTCCCAAATGCAACTTAATTCTTCAAATCAAAATAATAAATAAATTATAGGTTTCTTAAAAAAAATAAAAATTATAGGTACTTGCTCTTCAATTTCAACTCCGATCCTCAGAAATATCAAGTTTTTGAATGAAGAGAGGAATTTACATCCACTATCCGGTGATGTGTACTGGTTAAGTCCCGCTTTGTGACCTTAGCTGATAAAGATTCACAAGGAGTTAATGAATGAATTCATTAATGGTGATGGACCAACCCTAATTAATATTGTACGTACCACCTTGGAAATTCAAGCTAATAACTTGATTGCATTAATTACTATACCGAGCTAGTTACCTAGTATTGTATATGATGACTATGAATGATGATGACCAATCTTGAAATCCAATTCTTACCCCCTTATTCTTCCTACTTCACCTATTTTGTCTTTTTTATTTTTATTTTTCCTTGTCCCAACGCTTTTTTATCTTATACCTTAGATGATTTAAATTTATATTACAAATAGCATATATAAGTTTGATTAAATTGAAACTTAACTAAATCTAAATTCATGATGACAATTTTTCTTATCTCCGATTTTTGTTCAACCAAGGCCACGATACCTTTTCCAACTTGTTTGGTTCTTAATAATAATAATAATAATAATAATAATAATAATATTATTATTATTATTATTATTATTATTATTATTATTATTATTATTATTATTATTATTGTAGATTGTTTGTAATAGTACATCTATTTTGTTTGTTTTTGAATGTAAACTTGGATTTCTATATTTATTTTTTAAAGAGAATATTTATTAATTATAATCATAAATAGTGGGTAAAAGATTATAAAATGTTAAGTGGAGTATTAAGGCGTGAATGACTACATGCATGTATACCAACAAATTAAAAAACAAAACAAAAAAACACAAAAAAAAACAAAAATAGAAATTAAGTATACGTACTAATTAAAGCACAATATATACAAACATACTGATGCTATAATCACCAAAAAGTATGTGATTATCTTTTGTCTATTAATAATATGTTAATTAAAAAGCATTCATTTCAAATCAATTTACCAAACCTTCCTCCAATAATTTCTTTAAAGCATCGTGTGACCACATGTGATATGACCTATATAAAACAAATGCACTCATGCACTCTAAAGCCGATGAACTAAAACAATTTCTAATAAGAGTATACTTAGTACATGCATGGTCCACCATTCCCATCCATAATAGCCTAACATTTCCCAACAAGAACGAATGGATGATTAGGTATTCTCATGATCATATCACAATTCATATCTAGAGATTTAAAAAAAAATCGTGCAACGAAGAAGATCCAAAAAAAAATAAATTCAAAGGTAGATCTACCAGGCAGTAAATGCAAAAAGCCTTTACCGTTCAAGGTATTTGGCTCTGATACCACTTGTTGGTCCCGATAGATTGTGTGGTGAATCTAGAGGGGGGGGGGGGGTGAATAGACTCTCGTTTTTCTTTAGTTTTTAAAAGAAAAAACCCTGACAACACTTTTGAGTAAGATAAGCACAGCGGAAAGATTATAAAGTGAGGGTTGCACGAGTTTGATAAAAAGTTAAGAGGAGTGATGAAAAAGATGATATGCAAGCAGTAAAATAAAGCATTAAGTAGAGAGAAGAGTGAGACGAGATTTTATAGTGGTTCGGCCAAACGTTGCCTACTTCCACTCTTCTTCCACAACTGCTGGAAGGATTGCACTATCACTCTTTAGTACAATTACACAAAGACTTCCTTGATCACTAAGCCGGACAGCCTTTGAAGGTTTTTCAACTCCGAGAGTTTACTCCGCCTCTATCAACCTCTTCTTCTAAGTTGAGGTTGGTAAGAAGGTATTTCTTGATTCCTCCAACTGTGAAGTCTTGATGGTGTGGGATGATTGCTTCAAGAGTGCAAGACTTCTTTCAAGATGTAGGGCAGTGATGGATGATCTACTTCAAATGCCTTAACACCTTAATTAACTGGTTCGCAAAAAGCTTTGAGATTGTTAACTTTTCAAGGACTTTTTGCAAGAGAGTGAGTAGAGTGATAATGAACCAGCACCTTCTTAGTTGATGAAGGTTGGTTTATATAGGTGATGAAAATTCATCCGTTGGAGGGAGATGAATTTTTCGAACCTTTTATCCGTTGGACAAGGACCATGGAGCCTCATGCATTTAATGCTCCATTAATGAGTTTGTGCTATGTAGCCGTTGAAGGTATGGAGGACTTGATGGCTTTTGTCTTTTAGCTCCAGAGATAGTACAGCTTCATTAAATGCTCTTTGGAGAGCGTGTCCCATGAGTTGAGGTCCTTATTGTCCTAGGATGTTGTCAAATCAGACAGGTGGAACATTCTTCTTGTTGATGAGAAGAAGAATACTTGTTGGGATAGTCTTGAAAAGAACTGTCTTCTTAATGACAACTCCTTCTTTCGTTGCTGTGGAGTCTTCTTTCGTCTTGATCAGCCTATCTTCTATTCATAACTCTTTTCGTGTGTTTGTTCTAGCTTAACACGAATTACATATGAGTTATGGCAACTTTCGTCTAGAACGAAAGTAGCGATACAAGAGAAACGTAAGAGTTAGGGGTCTACTTTCTACATTACATTGGTATCATTGGTATCATCAAAATCGTAATACAAGGTTCCTAACAATTTCCCCCTTTTTGATGATGCCAAAACCTATACTCTTCTTATAAGGCTGAGAAAGTGCTCCTTAAGGATATTTCTATTAATAACACAGCCATTATCGAGAGTTTACAAGTATTTTCTATGAAGAAGCAGTAGGAATAAAGACAAGGACTTTTTAACTCAGACAAGTGACACGAGATGTGTGACAATGAGAGTTTCATAGATATTCAGATAAAATCATTACAAAAACTCTGTCAAAAGAAATCAAAACAAAGGATAACTTACATTTCTAAAAGATTCAACCTTTGCTGAGCTTCCTTCTTTCTTTCTTGATTGTCCTTCTCTTTGTCTTCTTTGTGTTCTCTCGTAGTCTGTCTTCTCGTTGATTCTTGCTCTGAAAGTCCTGATTGGATTGTTTCTGACGAGCTCTTCATATCCTCCTTTGATGTTTAGACCTGTGTAATTGTTGTAGGCTTCTCGAATGTTGTTGCCTTCCACTATTCCAGACTTCCACCAGGAGATCAGTTCAAACGAATTCATTCCTTCTTGATAGCTCTTGCCTGACTCTTTATGCACTTTGAAAGCTGCATTGTGCATGACATTTTGAGGAGAGTCTTTGGTTACATTTGATAGATCTTCGATGAGATTCTTAATCCTTTCTCTTTCTCTAGCTTCATCTTCTCTTCTCCTGATCTCTTCATCGTGTTTTTCCCACAACTCCTTGTTTTGTCTTTTAATCCTTTCGTTCTGAGTGCTCATGTAGTTTTGCCTTGTGTGGTTGTCTTTCTTCTTCAACCATATGGGATTGTTGCAACCTTCAAATCTCTTACCGCTTCCTTCTTCGTATGGGACATAGTCCACGAAGTTTCCAATGCCATCCATGGTGACTGAGGTATTTTTCATGAGCCTTTGTCTTAGTTTTACTTGATCTCTTCTTGACAGTCCTGTGAAGAAATATTTGGCTTCAGAGCCGAAAGATTGTCGAGCCTCGCTGTCTTGAGTGCGACCATGGCGTCTTTGATCATGGGACTGTCCACGAGACTTAGGAGGTGGATGAGAGGGATTTTTGTGACCCGAGACTTTGTGAGGAGAGACTCGCTTTTCCGAAGATTTTTCTTTCGTGTTATCCCTTCTTGGTTGGTTGTCATCATCCTTATCTCTGTCATCATTCCTATTTTCCCCCTTTTTGGCATCATCAGCGCAGGCAGTAGGAGGTACAGAGGGGATTTGGCTGATTGCAAGCAGGATGTCTTGAGCATATCCCAGAATTTGAAGAGCATATTCACCAAGTTGATAGGAATTGTCTTGATAAGTGTCAATCTTGGTACAAGCTAGGTCAACACGTTCCTTGAGGCTGTAATGAGAATGCTTAATCTCGTGTTGCTGCCTAGCGACTTTGTTTGAACTCTCTTCAAGATCAGAAACTCTTTTCACCAATTGCTTAAGAGTTTTGTCGTGAGGAAGATTCGGTTGCTGTGGTTGAGATTGTACATCAAGGAGTAGATTGACTTTTTGACACAGGTCATTCAATACTCTCGTGTCCTTCTCCCTTAGGGCGAGATATTGCTTGTGAATCAGTTCAGCTGAATGAACAGTTTCTCGCATGAGGTTCATAATGGTCCGTGGGGACTCAGCGATAGAATCGTCCTCAATGTGTGTTGGAGAAGAGTTCCTGTGTTCATCATGATGTGGTGCTTCCGGATTTTCACCATGCATCGAGTGGCCATGTTCAGGTGAGGCTTCCTTTCTGTCCTCATGAGCTGGAAGATTATGTTGTTGTTGTACAAATTCGTTCAGATGCGGAATGATAGCACGAGACGAGTGAACTGGATTTTTACTGGATGCTTCATCCGAGTCTTCGTCTTCAGATGGTATTTTCAAGAGAGGTGGTCTTTGTGGACAGTTAACATAGTCCGTTTCGACCAAGATAGTGTGGCTATCTTCTGGTTCTTCTTCTTCAGCACTTTCTCCCCCTTGTTGATTATTGTTATCATCATTATCATCATCATCAGTATCATCAGTACCACTGTTGTCGTCTTCTGTTTCATCATCATTGTTATCGTCTTCATTTTCTTCTTCATCCTCTTCTTCGATTTCGTTGCCATGAACATCTTTCGTTCCACTAGCACTGCCTTTGGGATCTCTAGGATGATCTTCTGCCATTTTGGCTTTAATTTTGGATAGCAGCATGATGTAGCGAAGTTGTTTCAATTCGGCTTCAGTCACTGGATCCATGGGAGGTTTATGAAGAGGAATTACCAAGGGAGCTTTGTCCTTCCCGAGAGATCGATGAGTTATTCTATAGAGTACACTCGGTGGATCTCCTCAATTCGCACAGCCTTTGTGACGTCCTGAGTTTCAAGCCATTGAAGTGCGAATTCTTCTTCGTCGATCATGGCTTCAAAAGTTTCGAGAAAGGTTCTGAGAGGTGCCGTGCGCCACTTGTGCCATTGTAGAACTCGATTGTAATCTCTTTCAATCGATTCTCTGAGAGATTTATCGAGGGTGTACCGGTCTGGAGAAGATTGAAGAGCAGATGGTTTCGGGACAAATGATGTTTGAGCAGCTGTCATCTCGTCTACTAGTGCAGGTTCTTGTGTCAGAATTACCTGCTCTGCAATAGTAGGTTCTTGTGGAAGAGATTGAGCATCATTTGGAGCATCAGAGGCTGCTTTCGGGATGTCTTCTGGAGAGCCCGGCTCTTGTGGAAGATTTTGACATCTTTCCTTCATTTCTACAGTAGCAGGTTCTTGTGTCAACTCTCGTAGGAGTTGCTCTGCTAAGGTAGGTTCTTGTGGATGAGGAACAGGAGATGCATTCGGATTGATGGATTTGTGAGCAACGGGACTTCTTTCGGGCAGAGAAGTTTTCAGTTCCCCCTCAGAGGTAGCTACTTTCGGGATGTCTTCCCCCTGTGATGTTGCTCCTTTTGATAAGGGTTCCCGGTTTTGAGCAGGTCTCATTCGACTTTGTTTGCTTAGACGAGTGAGAGGTTGATCATCATCATCTTCAGAGGAGTTCTGCACGATCAAAGTTTCGAGAGGAGGATCACCTTTCGTCTTTGGTTGGGAGATGACCGTCTTTTGAGTCTTAACCCGAGAAGAGGATTTTTCTTGTTTCTGCCGTTTTGGTTTTGGTTGAGCTTCTTCGTCTGCTTTGGGGGTTTTTAACTTTCGTTTGGACTTCCCTTTGGGTAGATTGGGTTCAAGAGGAATGCCCAATTCCAACGCCTTCTGTTTGTCACATCCAGATGGTTTTTGCTTCATGTGACAGACCTTTTGACCAGGTGGAGCACCAGCACGTAGAATCACTCCTTTTGTGGCAAGAAGATGGCTTATAATGAAACCGAAGCCCATCTTCTTTGTAATGTCACCAGGACTCCTGCGATGGTATGTGATGGTGTGGGCGATGTTGTTGAATACTATTTTGGACCAATCAACCTTATGCTCATGAAGGAAGGCGTGCAGCATTTTCAGCTTTTCCCTTGTGACATCATCTGTGCCAGAAGTCTTGTGGTCCACAATCTTGTTGAAGATGTCTACTGCAAACTCATGATCCAACCGGAACCATTTTTTTTTTTTTTGAGGGGCCAGGAAATTTCATCTTTGGAAGGGGCCTCCTTGTGTCGTATGGATTCATAGAAATCCTCCGGATCTAGATGATAATATATCAGGTTGGATTTGTAGGACTCATCTCGTCTGGGAAACCCAAAAGTTGATCGAATATCCTCAGCAGTAAACACAATGTGATGTTTATTAACTCTTGAAGTTATGCTCGAGAAATCAGAAGCCACATACGCATTCAAATAAAACTGAGTAACGTCAAGAGGGTACCATTCATCATAGTGGTGAGTTATCAAACCATATAAACCTGTTTCTAACAAAAGAGCGATTATTCGTTCTCCAAAGGCTTTATCCAAGACATACTTACGAAACCCTTCTTCGTCCCACATACTTCCTCCTACTATAAATGGAATTCTGGACTTGATAAACTCTATATCTTCCGTGGGAAAACTTGGTATTACTGGAGTGGATGAGGGTTCAGGGTTCTCTAGGTTCTTTTCGGAAGGAGCCGCCATTGATGATAGAGAGCTTGACTATAGAGAGCTTTGAGAGGAAGGGATGTATTTTGAGAGTTGTAGAACAGACGGAATGAAGGTTTGAGCAGGGTTTATAAAGCTCTGGGTTGGTGTCTTTAAATCAGCCCATTAAGAAAACTTATTCGAATTTCGAAAAAGAACTCAGCGGTTCCTCTTCCTCAAGAGGTAACTGATCATCATGGATATGTCATAAGAACGTGTGCAGATCTGAAATGATCATTCCCTCATTTAATGAGGAGAGAGAAAAGCACTCAAGTGCTGAGAGGTGCATTAAATGCACGTCTTTGTCCTGTCAGACTAGTGGGATAGTGGCGATTTTCTCGGCCGTATGATCCCAATAACACTTTATGAACGGTTTAGATTCAAAAAGGAATAGCGTCTTAAGTACGATTCAAAAACCCGAATGTTGTTCAGAATTTCACAAGACGCACATAATGTTGCCCGAGAGATTCATGATAAACAATCAACATTGTCACCCGAAAGATTGGTAACTGATCAGTCTTCAAGATTCGTTTAGATGAATCATGAGATCATTTCATGATATCTCCTTTAGGAAATATTTTTCTCACTATTTTGTTCAAGGTGGTCAAATCCTTGAACGAAATTATTTCTTGGGATTTTTGAAAAAAAATGCGAGTAAGTTTCGGTCAGAACAAACTTTTAAGGCTGTCAACAAGGTTACACAGATAAAACATGACATCTTATTAGCACATAGATAGGCAAGCTTTTATTCAACAATCGAGAAGAGAAGATACAGAAACATAGATGATGATTTTCAGAAAATCACTTTTTCTTCCTCTCAACCTTCTTGGATGAAGATCATTCAGGCTTATCTTTCTTCATCCTTCCAAACATTTCCCTATACCATCTTTTATAGCGCGGAAAGTTGGAACCAGTAGAGGACTCAGCTTCATCATCTTTGCCATACTTTTCTTCCAGATTTTCTTGTGCCAGAAAGGCCATGTAGTCCTTGTCAATCCATTCTTTTGGGATTGTCTCACTTGGATCTTTTGAGATCTTTTCTTCATTCTCTGATTCAACGATGAATCCAGCCATATCATCGTATTGAAACGATGAGTCTGAATCAGAGACGAGATTGATAGGAACATTAGGACTATTGCCTGGGTATAAGTCACCTTGCTCCTCCCTGAGGCGCCTAGCGGCCTCTTGGAGCTTGCGAGAGTCATTTCTTGTGAAACTTTTCTTAGGTGCCATTGAGAGAGAGGAGATGGTGAGAGTTGTAAGAAATTCTCTCCCTTTTTATAGCCAAGGATTGAAGGGCTTATCAGACAGTTTATCAACATAGCAATCAATGTTCATTAATGTGGTCAAGAGAATGCTGATTTCAGTTGAGACTAAAATTTTGATTCTCTGTAAGGCTCGAGTTCCAACGTGCTTAGCATTCAATAAATTCATAATGAATTTTTTTACTCTTTTTGACCAGATATAACTTGTAAAGAATGCACTCAACAGTAATCCTTCCTGTAATCCGAAATCATAAAAAAAAACGTATGCAATGCATTTATTTGGATAACACAACCATCATGACATACAGGATAGAAAGTGAGACTTAAACATAAAAAGCTCAACCTACTACGGTTCAAAGGAAACGATAGGGCACGTGAAGTTCCATTCGGGTCATCTCATCAGTCACATCAGCCAGATTTGTTGTTTTGGCGTATTCATCCAACTCTTCTAGAGAAAGAGTGGGTTCGGGTGGCTGATCTGTGAACCGAGAGTGGACCCTTGAGAAATCCTCATAGGATTGAACATTGGGTGGAGGAACTTCAGGAAAGGGATACCATTGAAAGGTTGGTGTCGACGAAGAGTCTTTGTTGGAGCTCTTCAGCATCATGATTCTCTCATGGGCAAGCCGTCTGGCTTGTTCCAGATGATACTTCTTTTTGGCCCTAGATTCGTCGACAAGAGTGTCAAGAACCTCTTTTTCCTTTTTAGAGTAGGTGTTAGGCATTGAGTAGGTTACGTTGATCATCTCTCCTTCTTCTTTCAAGCTTATGATGGTGGCATTAGGGAGCTTGCTTGCTTCCTGTAAGTGATGCTTCAGACGAGTAGCCCTTTTTTCTGCTTCGTCCATTTTTCCTTTCCCTTTGTTCATACCTGCAATCCTTTTTCTTAGAAAGAAGTGAGTGTGTCTTATGCATGGCGAAACTATTTTATAGGCAAATAAGTGTCGTGGAGATCTATACAAAATCTTTTGGATACTGACACTTTCTTGCGTGAGAGACACGAAAACAAAGAGACACGAAAGGATAAGGTGATTCATTATAAAGCATGGTGGAATAACATCACATATTAAGAAAAGGACAAAGTTATTTAGATCTTCCTTTTCTTGCTACTGGCGGTGGATTTGAGTGGTGAGGGCATCTTAGGAGGGGTGCTGGACGGTGAATAGTCGAAACTGTCGCTTTTGTCCAGCACACTGTTTTCTTTGGCATATCCAATAGAATTGCCTGCAGAAAGAAACAGCTCTTTTGACTCTTTGTCTGTTGGAGCCCGAAGAAGACTCTGAATATGTTGAGAGCGTTCCATGAACTTGTTCACTTCCTCCTGGGTGATGAGTTTGTCATTAAAGATCTCACTTTTTCCACTTTTTCCACCTTGATTCTCAGTGTTGGTTCTTTCACTACCTGTACTCATACCTGCAAGAACAAACACTAGAACTTTTGTTAGTGATGTATGCACAAACAATTAGTATACCTTATTTATAAGGATACTTGCGTGTAAGGATGGATCAAATCTAGCGAGAATCAAGGATACGAATCTTTACAGATTTGATTCTCTGAATTTTAGGTCATTTCAATCATTCCGATCTCATGCCTTAATAGAGAGAATCTTGGCTCACTCAAAGGTTTAGTGAGTATATCTGCCAGTTGATCATCGGTATTGACATATTCGAGAGAAATATCTTTCTTCTCAACATGATCACGAATAAAATGATACTTGATATCAATGTGCTTGGTCCGAGAGTGTAGAACCGGATTGTGTGTGATTGCTATAGCACTTGTATTATCGCACTTAATGCTCACTTCTTGGACATTTATCCCATAGTCTCTTAATTGATGTCTCATCCATAAGATTTGAGCACAACAACTTCCAGCTGCTATGTATTCGGCCT